TATCATTAAGGGGGCCAGCAGGTGGCATGGTGTTTAAAGTGGTGGACTCCCACATGACTGACCAAAGTTCAAGTCCCAGACCTGGTGGCTTGCTTTCTAACTTTCTCTTTCTCTCTCTCTGGTCAAATTTTAAAATAACAACAACAAATAAAATTAAATTATTAAAAGAATTATTTATAAATTAACATAAGAAACAAGTCATTATAATGCAGAAGTAGTTATGAATGTAATTACATAGTATCTGACACTAGTTTTAAAATAATGAAGTCTGAGAGAAGTTAGGTGATAAACTAGATTGATAATTGTTAAAGCTTGCTGAAGGGTATATGGCTTTCATTATTTTCATCTTTCCACTCTTTAAAAGGTTTAAAAACAGTAAAAGATGGGACTAGCAATTGGTATAATGGCTATGTCACTGGACTCCCATGTAGTTGACCACAGTTCGAGTTGCGGACCTAGCGACTTAAACTCACTCTGGGCGCATGTGCATGCCTGCCTGCCCACAATCCTGAGAGGAGAATAGAGGAAAAAGGATTGTCTCCAGAGCGGCCATCTCCCCTGGGGGGTAATTTCTCGCTTTCTGTCTCTCTATCTCTGTCTTTCTGGCTAGGGCATGCACCCTATAACAAAACCTCCCCACTCCAAAAAAACAAACAAACAAACAAACAAAAAAACAGCAACAGAGTAGGCACAGACTAAATACTTCATTACACAAGCCAACAATTATCCTTTTTTTTTCTTTTTAGTTTTGCTATAGTGTGCTCCTCAGAGACAGAGAAGGGCAGGGGATGGCCACATCACAATCCATCCTCTTCCATTCTCCTCTTGGGATTTTGGGCATGCATGCATATGTGCCAAGAGTGAATTTCAAGCCACGAGGTCAGGAATTCAAGCCACGAGGTCAGTCAGCCAAGTGGGATCCAGCTGACTCAACCTCCACATTACCTGTTGGCCTGCAAAGAACTTTCTTATAATAACCTGTATCAAAAACTTAAAACGGGGACCAGCAATTAGCGTAATGGCTATGTTACTGGACTCCCATGTAGCCGACTGCGGTTCCAGTCCCGGACCCAGCAGCTTAAACTCACACTGGGCGCATGTGCGTGCATGCCCAAGATCTGGAAAGGAGAATGGAGGAGAAGGAATTGTGGTGTGGCCATCCCCCCTGGGAGTGATTTCTCGCTTTCTGTCTCTCTGCCTCTCTCTGTCTGGCAAGCGCACGTGCCCTATAGCAAAAACCTCTCCAATCAATCAATCAATAAACAAACAAACAAACTTAAAACGTATATGATATACTTGATACTGACCCGTTTTTTTCATTTGACAGAAGACATGTACACTCACAAAAAGAAGGGGAAAGGGAAAAAGTGCCCCCTAATGGGGCATGGCAATCATTTTCTCCTCCATTTTTCAATCCCATCAGGACCATAGGCACAGATACACAACCACCAGGTGTGTCTGACTTGTGGGGTGGGACTCACACTGCAATGTCAGACATTGGAATCTGGCTCCCTCAAACACTGGGCTAGCCAAATATTTATGAATTATATATTTCATATATAATCTGTAAAAGTGTGGTCATATAAAATATTGATAGTTGAGTATCCTCTCAATTAAAATTTAAAATTAAGAATACTATTTAGGGGTTGGCAGGTGGCATGGTAGTTAAAGGCACTAGACTCCCACATGGCTGATCATGGTTCAAGTCCCAGACCTGGCAGCATGCTTTCTCACTTTCCCTTTCTATCTCTCTCTGTCTGTCTCTGGTCAAACTAAAGACTAATAATAATAAATAAAATAAAATAATTCTTTTATTAAAAAAAAACACTATTTAGGCACAAATATGTAAACATATACATTTAATGCCTGTACATCCATCAACTAGTTAAACATTTTTTCTTAAATAATTAACACCTTTTTTCCTCATGATTTTCCTCTGTCTGTTAATCTCTATGATTATGACTATGTCTAGTTTATAGTCCAGGAAATGGATAGGTTCTTACAGACAAATATGACCCCACGACATGGTCACATATTGAACATTATGAATAAAAACTAGAAATCTGCTTCTTAAGAAACACTTCTTGGGACCAGCAGTTAGGGTAATAGCTATGTCGCTGGACTCCCACGTAGTCAACTGCAGTTCGGTGGCTTAAAACTCACACCGGTGGCTTAAAAACGTGCATGCCCAAGATCAACTCACACCGGGCGCTGGCTTAAAACTCACACCGGGCGCGTGTACGTGCATGCCCAAGATCCCGAGAGGAGAATGGAAGAGAAGGGATTGCAGCGTGGCCATCCCCCCTGGGGGGGTGTGATATCTCGCTTTCTGTTTCTCTGTCTCTCTCTGTCTAGAGAGTGCACGTGCCCTATAGCAAAAACCTCTTTAAAAAAGAAACACTTCTTAAAACATTCAAATAGTTGTGTTTTTTTTTTTAAGAGAGATTTTTGCTATAGGGTGTGTGCACTTGCCAGAGAGATAGAGAGACACAGAAAGAAACAGAAAGCAAGAAATCATCCCCCAGGTGGTATGGCCATATCATAATCCCTTCTCCATTATCCTCTCAGGATTTGGGGCCCACATGCACACATACCCAGCGTGAATTTTAAGCTACCAGGTCTGGGACTCGAACCACAGTCAAATACATGGGAGTCCAGCAACATAACCATTATGCCACCTGCTGGTCCCTCAAAATAGCTGTTTTAAAAATATTTGATTTTAGGGCCGGCAGGTGGTGTGATAGTTAAGGGCACTGGACTCCCTAATAATAAATAACTTGTAGAAAAAAATTGATTTTCATAATAATATGTACCTATGGGCTTCTTATATGTACAAATATAACCAATAATTAATTTGAGAACCTTTTATGAACTCTAAACTACATTGTTAAAACAATTTATCTGATACTAAAGGAAAGAGATAACTAATATTAAGCCAGACACTGGACTACACACTTTAATACACATTCGCTCACTAAACTTAAGAGGTATCTACATTTGGGGCCAGCAGGTGGCATGGTGTTAAGGGCACTGAATTCCCACATGGCTGACAGCAGTTCGAGTACCAGACCTGGCAGCTTGCTCTCTCACTTTCCCTTTCTATCTCTGTCTGTCTGTCTCTGGTCAAACTAAAGACTAATAATAATAAATATAAAAGAAAACAAATAATTCAAATAAAAAAGAAAATAGATTGTGATAGATTGTATAAATTACTAGTTTTAACATTTAATACCATTTATTGAGTAAGAGCATTTTGTCTCTAATGTTATAGTGTCTAATTAAAATTTTAAAAATTTTGTAAATAGGGGATGTGCATTCATCAGAAAGACAGAGAGAACCCCCGAGAGGAATGGCCACCCACAGCGTTCTCTTCTCTATTCTCCTCTCAGAATTTTGGACATATGCACACACATGCCTGATATATTTTCTTCAAGCCACTGGATCTGGGACTCAGACCTTGCAGTCAAAAAAAAAAAAGAATAAAAAAAGAATACTAATTAGGCACAAATATGTAAATATTTACATTTAATGTCTGTATTTCCATCAATTTCAGTTTGTTTTCTCACTTTCCCTTTCTCTTTCTGGTCAAATTAAAAAATAATAGTAAATAAAGTTAAATAAATATTTAATCCTTTTTAAAAAAGAAGTATCTATATTTTTATAGAAAGAATACCTAAGGCGGGGCTGGCAGGTAGTGTAGTGATTAAAGTGCTGGATTCCCACATGGCCAACTGCAGTTAGAATACCTGACCTGGTAGCTTGCTTTCTCATTTTCCCTTTCTCTCTCTCTGTCTCTTTCCTGTGTACTTAAAAATAATAACAAATAAAACTGATAAATAAAATAATTCTTTTTTAAAAAAAGAAAGAATACCCAAGATTGCAGAGTTAATAAGTAGCCTAACTGGTATTCAAATTTGCACTCACTATCAGTCCCCCACTATACCAGTCTACCTTTAAGGGAAACAAACAAACAAACAAAAACCTATACATACTCATGTCAAACTTAAATACTGGATTGTTGGAAAAGTCCTGATGTATTTTTCTGTTTTTCTACATAAAAATGCGTCCTGACTTTTCTGACAACCTAATATTTAGGCCCTTATTAAAGTGTGCTGTAAAATGTTGAAGTTATTGGTAACATGTATTTCACAGAGGCTGCTTGGCTTTGTAAAGAGAACTAACTAAAACACAGAGAGCATTGTTCTACTACAGTGAGACTTTTTCCCAAGTCTCTTACTTACAGCCTCAGTTTCTTATCTCTATAATGGGGAAATTAATATCCTTGCTGTTCAGTCATATGATTACAGGATTTCAAGACAACATATGTAACATCACTTCAAAATCTACATAAACAACGCAGAGTTCTGTATCTTAAAATGTCAACAATACAAAATAAAGTTGTCTAAAGTAATTGTCAGATGATTAAGCTACTCTACATATTCTATTAACATCTCTAGAACTTTCTAAGACCTTTCTATAAGTATAGTTCAATCATCTCTATAACTTAGCTTTCCTTATCCTTAAATAAAATGCATTAGTAATGGCATCAATGCGTTTGTAATAAGTGATTAATACAATTTTGAAATGCTCAGCATATAAAAGTTATAAATTCTGAATTTTCAAACTAAGTATGTGTTTGGTGTAATTGTTTAAGTTATACTCATCATCTTAATGTTTGAGTCTTCTCATATTTGTATGTAAAAAGTTAGAATTAAGATCTGAAATTCTATCGGAGAACACCCAACACATAATTTAAAATTATTTGTGTGTGTGTGTGTTTTTAAGGCTTCTAGAAACAGATACAACAGCCAACAAGCACTTCAAACACAGCAACAAAATCCACTAAAACATTAAGCTGCTCTAAAAGAAGGATCAGGCTCTTTAAGAGAAAAACTACATTGTGTGAGTTTGCAAAGTTTCTCGAGTTCCCATTTAAACTCCATTTCAGGGAAAGCCTTTGCATACTAACACAACATGCTTTAAAATGGCATTTTGCTGACCTTCCACTAGTCCAGCTCTATGAAAATTCTGTGATGGGTGTAACTTCAGAGAATCTGAAAAACACAAAAAGCATTAAGTACTTTTTATGCTGAATGAGAAAAAAAAAAGGCCAAGGATAGCACACATCTGTTATATAACTGTCATGTATTTTTAAGAGGTAAAGCCCATATTTGTGAATATATTTTCTGCAAAAAGAAGCTGAATTGCCTTGACATGGGTTTCCAGGATAAACTTAGGTTTTCCTCAAGCATTTGGTTCATGAAAAATTATCTGATGATTACTGCTGAAATGGTGTTACTGTCTTGACTATTTTTAGCACTCAATTGTATACGTGCTGCTCTAAGAATCATTTCTTGGTACTGTCTCTTCATTCTGACACTCAGAACTAGAATATTTCTAAACTACTTCAGGTAACACTGCCTGAAAAACATCCCACAGGATGGTGACTGCCAACTAAAGTCAATGGAGCAACAATGGCTACAGTGACTAAGTAGGACTCTCTACAAACTCAATAGTCTATAAAATCTAGTACCTTCCAGAGTAAACCATCTCACTCATTCACTTAAACAATTTATAAATATACTAATGCGAAGCTGAAGTCTGTTTTTATATATATTTTTTTTTTGGAGGGAGGGGAATCAGCCAATGGATACATCAATCCAAAAACAGAAGACATGCTAAAACTGCTCAGAGAGTTCACAATGGCACATTGTCTTTATTTAATATAGTGAAATGAAAAATGAATAATTCAGTTATATCTTGTGCCCCCTCCTGGTGGTTCAAAAAGTGGTGAGGATCACAGTGGGAATATATGGGTTTGATGCCCCCTGCACTGGGAATCTGTTCTGACACATTCTTGTGCTGTCCAGTATAGGAATTTAATCCCAGTAGAGATCAGCTCAAGTGTTCATATTTTGATGCTGGGAATCCCCTGCCGACCTTAGCCAAAGAGTTTTCAAATGGGAATCCCTGTCCAGTGCCCTCTCCCTACAAGCCCTTGAACGGTAAAGAGAAAATTCTCAAAGGGCAGTCTATGGCTGAGCTGGTACTCCAGGGAGAGGAGAGGAATAAAACTAATCCAGAGAGAGGACCCCGATGCTCGTAAAAGACAAGGAGAAGTAATTAGAAGGCCACGGAGGTGGAAAGGGGTGTGGGGGGGGGGAAGAAAAGAAAATTCGGGCCCTTTCCAGCAATAAGATGACGAGGAAAGGAAGAACGCCTGGTCGAGGGGGGCCGTCCCGGAGGGAGTAGACTAGGCCGAACGAAGAGGGGTGTAGAACCACGGCGCACAAACAAACCGGAGGGAGAGAAAAATGGTGACCCTGCACCCAGAACCGGCTCCAGGCCACGCCGCCCGCTTGGGGGCAACTTTGCTAGGAAAAGGGTCCTGGAAAGAGGAGCCGCGGCGCCCGGATCGTGCGGTCCCAGCGCGGGGCCCAGTCCGAGGTGATCCGCGAACCCGGGAGGCCTGGGCCGGCTGGGCGCCCCGGGTGGCTGGGCGGGACAGACCGAAAGCCACTCGGAGCGATCGGTGCCGCAGAGACCCGGGGGCCGACGGAATCTGGGCCCCGAGCGGCCCGCCGCCCCGCGGGGGCGGGGCCGCCA